TAGCAATGTGGTAGAATTAAGCCAAACTGTATCAGCCTTTGCTGTGTAACACACCATCCCTAAACTCAGTGGCTTAAAACATGTATTATATCATAACTTTTGGGGGTTGGCAGTTTGGGCTGGGATCAGTTGAGCAGTTCTGCTTCTGGTCTCAGCTGGACTCATTTATGAAGTTACAGTCAACTGGCAATTTGGCTAGGGTTGGGTAGTCTAGGATAGTTTCACTCACAGATCTAGTGGTCTGCAGGCTGGCTACTCGTGTATCTTGGTTCTTTACCACGTGACCATTCTAGCATGCTAGAACAAATTCATCACACCATTCACACACACAAAAAAGGACATATTACAGTACAGAAATATGTTCAAGGCACTACTTATATCACATTAGTTGATGTCCCAAAAGCAAAGCAAGTGATGTGGTTAATCCCAGACTGACGAGATGGAGAAATAAACACTGCCTCTTGATGGGAGGCGCAGCAATGTCACATTGGAAAGTGAATATAGAATGGCATGAATTATTGTGGCCATTTTTACAAACAGTAACCACACCAACTGTATCTGTAAATACCTTAAATTAAAATGATCTAAAGTCTCCAATTAAAAGATGAAGACAGGGCCGGCCCCGTGGCTTGGCGGTTGGGTGCGCGCGCTCCACTGCTGGCAGCCCGGGTTCGGATCCCAGGCGCGCACTGACGCACCGCTTCTCCCGCCATGCTGAGGCCGCATCCCACATACAGCAGCTGGAAGGATGTGCAACTATGACATACAACTATCTACTGGGTCTTTGGGGGAAAAAAAATTAAAAAGATGAAGACAGTCAGACTAGATTTTATATAAAAGGATCTAAGGACATGCATTAAATATCACAGAAAAAGGTCGAAAGTAAAAGGATGGGTGAAAAACCAGCATGCAAATACTAACCAAAAAAATGCTAGGGTAGCGTGAATTCTTCCAAATATTTGACAGAATAGAAAATATCAATCATGTACAAATACTTACAAAGAAAAGAAAAAGAAGAGTGACTTCTCAATTTCCTTTATAAGGCCAAAAACACCTTGATACTAACCCTGGACATTTCAGGAAAGAAAATCAAAGGCCAATAGCTCCCTGAACATAAAAGCAAAGCCTTAAACAAAACATAGCTAGTCAAATTCAGTAAATGATACAGATGATAAATCAGGACCAAATGGGGTATTCCAGGAATTCAAGATTGCTTAAAATACAAAACGCAATCAATGTAATTCACATTAACAGGATAAAGGAGAAAAATCATATGATCATCTAATACGCCAGTAATATATTGGAAAAATTCAACATTCATCATAAAAAGTCTCAACAAAAGTGTTCTAGAAGAAAATTGCCTTAATCTGATAAAGAGCATCTTAAAACACCTACAGATGGCATACCTGATGGATTCCTCAAGGGAACAAAATAAGGATATCTACTACAGAAACTTTCATTCAACATCATACTGGAGACCCAAGCCAGTGCAACAAACAGGAAAAAAGGAAAAGGTACAAAGATTGGAAAAGAAGAAATATAACGATATTTACAGATGACATAATTTGTAAAAAATCCAAAAGAATTCTAAAACTATCTGAATAAATAATTAGCACGATCACTGGATATAAGTAAATATAAAAACATAAATTTTGTCTCTGTATACTAGCTTCAAGTAGTTAAACAGTAAAATTAAAAAACACAAGTACTTACCACAGCAACAAAAATAACAAAAAGGCACAAAAATCCTCAATACAATACTAACAAACTGAATCCAGTAACAAATCAAAAAAAAGAATGTATAGGGCCGGCCCCGTGGCTTAGCGGTTGGGTGCACGCACTCTGCTACTGGTGGCCCGGGTTCGGATCCCAGGCGTGCACCGATGCACCGCTTCTCTGGCCATGCTGAGGCCGCGTCCCACATACAGCAACTAGAAGGATGTGCAGCTATGACATACAACTATCTACTGGGGCTTTGGGGGGAAAAAAAATGTATACACCATGAACAAATGGGATTTATGCCAGGAATGCAAGGTGTTAACATGGATAAATCAATCAACGTAAAACATCATATTAATAGAATAAAGGACAGAAAGCACATAATCATCTAATAGACACAGAAAAAACATTTAACAATATCCAATATCCTTTCATGATAAAAACACTCAACAGAGTCAGAATAGAGGAAAATTTCTTCAACCTAATAAAGGGCATCTACGAAAAATCCACAGCTAACATCATAATTAATGGAGAAAGACTGAATGTTTTCTGTCTGTTACTTCATTACTCTTTATTGCTGAATACTAGTCTATTGTATGAATATGCCAGATATCTTGGGGCTTTGGGGGGAAAAAATAATAAATAAATAAAATTTAAAAAAATGAAATTAAAAAAAATAAAAGCCACTGAACTGAACACTTTAAATGGGAGAATTTTATAGTATGTTAATCATATCGCAATAAAGATGTTTTTTAAAAAGGCATAAAATCTATCCACTGAAAAATTAAAAAACATTGCTGAGAGAAATTAATGAAGACCTAATGAAATGGAGAGATATACCATATTTGTGAATTGGAAGACAAGAATATCAATTCACCCTATATCTATAGAGTCAAAGAAAATCTAGTTAAATCCCTCCAGGTTTCTTTGTGTAAATCAACCAGCAGGTTCTTAAAATATATATGGAATTGCATAGGACCCAGAATAGCCAATACAATAAAAAAGAATAAAGTTGAAAACTTATAGTATGATATTTCAATACTTACTCTAAAGACAGTTTGGTATTAGTGCAAGAATAGCTAAATATACCAATGACACAGAATAGAGTACAGAAATAGACCCACATATATAAGATAACATGACTTAGTACAAAGGCACCACTGCAATTCAATAAACAGTGCTGGATGGAGCAAATGGTTATGCACACGGAAAAAAAAATCTCTCGACCTTCACCTCAAAAGAAACAAACAAAAGAATTAATTTGAAATGAATTATAGGTCTAAATGTGAAAGATGAAACAACAATGCCCCTAGAAGAAAAAAAGAATATCTTCATGTCCTTACGGTAGGCAAAGGTTTTTAAACAGAATGAGACATCAACTATAAATAAAAGATTAATAAATTGAACTTCATTCAAATTAAGAGCATTTGTTCCTCAAAAGACTTCATTATCAGCATGAAAAGGCAAGCCACAGCCTGGGAAAGATATCTACAATACATATATCCTACAAAGGCCTCATATCCCAGTATATATAAATATCTATAAATAAATAGAAAAAAACCACAAACTTATTTAATAATATGGTCAAAAGTTGAACGGGCAGTTCAACATAGAGGTTATCCCAATGGCCATCATATGCAAGGATGCTCAAGTCAGTATTCATCAGGGAAATGGAGATTAAAATCACACTGAGATACCACTACCCCCCTACTAGTATTGTGAAAATTAAAAAGACTGACAACACCAAGTCTTCAAGAGGATGTGGAGCAACTGGAACCCTTTACCTTGCTGATATAAGTGTAAATTGACACAACAACTTTGGAAAATGGTTTGGCAGTGTCTCTACAGATAAACATAAACCTACTTTATGATCTAGCTATTCCACTCTCGGATTCCTAATAGAAATTATTGCTATGTCTACCAAAAAATAATTTAAGATTGATCATAGCAGATTTATTCATAATAAGAAAAAAACAGAAACCACACAAATGTCTACCAATGTAGAATGAACAAATTGTAGCAACAGTTGGAAAACTGCAGCCTGCAGATAAAATATAGCCTGTCAACTGTTTTTGTATGGCCAATGACCTACGAAAAGATTTTACGTTTTAAATGGCTAAAGAAAATAAAAGTAATAGTATTTTGTGAAATATAAAATTACATGAAATTCAAATTTCAGCGTCCATAAATCAAGTTTTACTGGAATACAGCCACACTCATTTGTTTACATATTGTCTATGGCTGCGTTCATGCTACGATGGCAGAGTTGAGTAGCTGTGACAGAGAACATGGGGCACACAAAACCTAAAATATTTGCTAGATGGCTAAAGGAATTATTGCTACACTCAATAACAAGGATTCTCTCAGTCATAATGTTGACAAAAACATGCCAGACACATATCATTACACTGATTGCATTCAAATAAAGTTTAAGAATACACAAAACTAATCTGTTGTGCTAGAAGTCAAAATAACAGTCACTTCTAGGTGGAGTCAGAGTTGACCAGGATGGGACACAAGGGAACATTCTGGTGTCTTGGAAAGGGTCTTTATCTTGATCTGTGTGTGTGGGTTGCCTGTGTATGTAAAATATCACTGAGGTATATATGTAGTATTTGTGGACTTGATGTAAATTATTCTCTAAAACAAAACAAAGACTAAGGCTGAATTTCCATTTTTTTACCTCTCTTCATTTCAATTTAAAACTCATCTTTCAAAACATTTGCCAGATGAAATTTTCTCCCCCTCCAAATTTTGAAGGCAAATTGATTTCCAGGCTGCACTGTCCAATTTAGGCAGCCACATATAGCTGTTTAAATTTAAATTTATTAAAATGAAACAAAATTAAAAATCCAGTTCCTCAGTCAAACTGGCCATATTTCATGTGCTCAACAGCCATATATGACTAGTGCTATGGTCTTGGACAGCTCAGATATAGAACATGGAATCCAGTTTTGCAGAAAGTCCTATTGGACAGTAGTGCTCCAAAACATTACACAAATGTCAATTTCGTTTTACAGATGAGGAAACTGAAGCTTAGAGATACTACTATTACACGGAGCTGCATACAATCACAGCCATTCTCACATTACTGTGCTCATACAGTTCTTTTCCCACATTCACTGCTACAGGTGAACTCTCAACGTTTCGTTCATTTAACAATGCTATAATTCCATAGGAATGTAGTCTAAATTCACAACCATGCAAACGAAGAAAAAGCATTTTCTTACAAGTTATACAGTACTTAGTCGCAGACTGATTAATCCAGACTATTCAGCGATAGTCACACCGTCCCTGAGACACTCTCACACAGTGCCAAATGGATCGCGTGCTTATCCACTAACATCCCTCTCACCGTCTCAAGCACAATCTGACACACATCACACTCCCCACAGTCCTCGCTGCCCCTGCAGAGGACACTTGGACACACACACGACCGTGAAGTGAGCGTCACACCCTGAACCCTCTTGAGCATCAACCAGGTTGTTACGGCCACTGCGTTCGGGCCAGAGCTCTGTCTGCGACACCTGGACCCCACCTCCTGGCCTTCTGCAGCCTTTTCAGCCCTGGACTACATTTCTCGGAAGGCATCACTCAACCTCTGGTAACCTCTCTGGGATTTTCTGGAACCTCTGGGGAGTCACTTGAGTAAAACGAAATAGGTCGGCTCACACCGCAGTACCGTGAGACCCACAGTTGGAGCAAGGGAGCCTCAGGGCTCGCCCAATTCCGGACCGCAGGAGGCGGCCACTGCCTCTGGATTCTGCTGCATCAGGACGGTTCGTGCTTTAAACTACATTTCCCGGAGGCCACCGCGTCCCTGCGCCATTTGCTACACTTTCTCCCTTACGCTTGGCGCAAGGATCCGGTCTGCAGCGGCCAGGTGAGAGGACGGCCTCACCCGGCCCCACTCTGCATCTGGAGTGGAGAATCCAGTAAGAGGTTCCCATATGGTGCTGGGAATACCGGTATGCGGACTGGGGATCGGGACGATCCCGGCTCTGGACTACATTTCTCTATGGTACTTGCTAACGGAAGTCGGCCTTGCCGGTGCGCAGTGGCTATGCCCTTCTCCGCCGGCAAAATCGGCGCCGTCACTTCGGTGCCGAGCGGCGGGGGCGTGGTACTATTAGTTGTGTTCCTCCGCACCGGAGGCGTGGGTGTGCACTTGGCGCGTCTCTCCGCTGGCGAAATGTGCACCGTGACTTTGGTTCCGGGCGGAGGGGAGCGGGGAGATGTTACCATTAACGCAGGAGTGTGTCTGTGTGGGTGGGTGGGTGTGCTTTTGTGGCCGCGTGATGAGCTCACCTGCCGCCTTCTAACGCTCTTGGCTGCTGGGCCCTTTCTCGCCTGTGTGCTGTACCCCCATATGAGAGACTGAGTTGAGAATCGCGCTGTTCCAGCTGCTGCCAATCCTTCACTTTATTTATAGAGAACGAGGCTATTTTGAAGATGCCCCTGTAATGAGCATTTATGCCTGAAGTGCCCTAGGAAAGAAGACCACCGTTATAGGATGCCCCATGCTACTGTGCGAGCTCTGTGGGGAAAACTGATCTCTCTCGCTGGCCTGAAGTTGTTGTGGGAGATGTCCTAACTTGTTTTGACGGCTCTGAGAACGGCTTGATACCCTATGATTATTTTTAATTTGTTCCACTTTTTACAACAGAGGCACACAGAGGAAAGAAAATATTGCACATCCAAAAGGCCTAAAATAAGCCGCCGTTTTCTTTCTTCCCCTTTCAAGATATTGCTCTCTCCTGCAACATCTTCTTAAGGAAGAACCAGCCATTCAATGACTGGTCCTTAGGCGTTGCTGTCCCCATGGAGGGTGGCGCTCCAGGGACAGGCTCGCTAGTCTAACTCCACTCCCCAACTACACTACCCCTCTCCTTTCCACCCAGTGACACACAGTCTTTTCTGGTCTAAGATTTTTGGTGAAAGATAACTATACCTTCCGGAGGAAATCTGGAGACTTTTAATTTAAATTTATTATGGAAATTTTCAAGCAGGATAGAAAATAATACAAACCCCAATGTGCCCAACACCTAGCTATAATTTAAAACATTGGCAAATAACCTTGTATCTATCCTTCCTCCTTTTTTTCTGTAGTATTTCAAAATTATTTTATCCATATGTATGCACATGTAACCAAAAAGGATATCATATTTTTAAATAACCACCATGATGTTATCTCAACTTTAAAAACTAACATTAATAACATAATATCATATACCCAGTACATATTCAAATTTCCCCAATTCTTTCAAAGATAGATTTTTACAATTGGTTTGTTCAAATCATGATCCAGATAAGGTCCACACGTTACATTTATTTGCCAAACCTCAAATTTCTTTAATCCATAACAGTTTCCCTTCTGTTTTTTGCTTTTGTTTTGTTTTAATTGGTGCCATTGATTTGCAGAAAAACTAGATTATTTGTGCTATAGAATATTCTACATTCTGCTTTTGGCTAATTGCTTCCTTGTTGTGTCATATAATTTGTTTCCCTATGCCCCATATTTCTGTAAATGGGTAGTTAGATCTAGAGGCTTGATCAGATTCAGATTATATTTTGCCTAAATCACATTTTCAGGCAAAAATAGTTCATAGCTGGTGCTGTGTACTTCATATTACATCATGTCCTGAGGCGCTTAAAGTCTGGTGTCCCACCTCAGGTGATGGTATATTCATCAGTGATCAACTGCTGTCCACGTAATCCTTCCTTTATGAAGTTCCCCCTTCCTCTTTCATCTAAAGCATGCATTCTTAATGGCAGAATGAAGGGTATCACCCCAAGGGGATGAAACTTGAGAGGAGAGCAGAGAGCAGGACAAAACTCTTAGATATGACAATGGTTTGTGGCCCTCCAAGGACCACAGTACATAAACACATATACGGTATATCTGTAGTATTAAAATTTCATGGGTGAGTGGTGGCAGTTAGGAAAAAAGGTGTCTAAAAAGGCTCTTTGGGAGCTAATAATGAAAAAAAAAACGTTAGGAAACACTGACTCGAAGGTTATAACGTCCATTTATAATTGATGCTGACATCTACTATCTCATTAAGGGTTACATATAGTGATTTTTAAAAATTCTCTCAATTCCTTCAGCATTTCTTACCTGGAGTTCTATAAATTAGAACTTTTCTTCATCAACTATTTGTTTATCCTAAAATTCAGTTCATATGGAAAGGCAGGATAATCGACTTGATTCTTTCTCTTTGTGTATTAGCTTTTAGAGAAATGAGTTGGTGCCCTACAATGTCCTAAAGAGTCCCAAAAGTGAGTGAATGAATTTGAGTACCATGTGACTCGTGGGTTTTTTTAGATACATTCGATATGTTTCAAACCACTGTAATCATTATTCTTTTTTAATCTCAAACTGCCCTCTCTTTAGCCATTTGGAGCCTATTCCAGTTGGCTCCTATGTCTTTTTGATGTGATTCTATTAGAGTTGATGGTACTTGCTTTCTCTAACAACAAGTTGTCCCAAGTTTAACTTGTACATTTCCTGTGCCAGACCTGAAATGAGCCATTTTTCTAAGGAGTTCTGGTTCCTCTTATGGGGCGTGGTGTATAGAGACCGCAGTCTGGATGTTAGGGGTATTCATTGCCATGGGGCTCTCATTTCTTTTAGGCCTTTTCAGTAGACAAAGCTAATTTAAACTTGTTTTTAAAGTATAAACCATGAATCATGAATTCATAATCATATTTCCATTCAGACCAATGATAACAGGGTTTTTCTTATTTGATTTTATTCTTGCATCTCTCTCCTTTTATACTAACAATCTTGGTTGCTGACAACATATTAATATAATTCATTTGCTTTACTCTAAAATATACTTATAATGGTTTCAAAACAATAATAATATTACTACTAACTATCAGGATAGGGAATGTATTTATATTTATTTTGGTTATCGTATTTTCTGTATTTAAGGTTCTTATGTTACATTTGGTTATATATCTTTAGTTTTTTAATCCAGAATAAATGTTCTCAGGGGCCGGCCCGGTGCTATAGTGGTTAAGTTCACACGCTCTGCTTCGGTGGCCTGGGGTTCGCAGGTTTGGATCTCGGGCACGGACCTACACACTGCTCATGAGGCCATGCTGTGGTGGTGTCCCATATACAAAGTAGAGGAAGATTGGCACAGATGTTAGCTCAGGGACCATCC